GTCAGGTTCCCATTCCTCGATGAGCGACTGGTAAAATGGGCAATCGAAACTCCGGCGTGGGAGAAATGCGACTTCGACAACGCTGAGGAGATATCGGGCGTTGAAGCCGGGAAGCGCGTGCTGCGGTTAGTAGCGCGGGAATTAGGCATGGAGCAGGTTGCTCGGGAGAAGAAGCGAGCAGTGCGTACAACCATATCATCACTCATCACCTCGTTATATGGGGGGACCTGCCGTTGGCGACTACTAACATTCTGACAGATCCAGTTCGGCTCAAGGACAGCCAAGATGGAGAGCGGTCGGGTTAAGGGGACAATGTTAATCTCTTGAATTCCTTTTTGTCACTGATGGCGCTCAAGATGGGAGTCTATCCTAGCGGACCTGGACACTGTGCTGTCGCGATGATGACAATCAACAGATACTTCCTAGTCGATGGCTCCGAACTGATGAGGGTTGATGTCAGCAACTGTGCAAGTTCCTGCCACCGGCAGAAACCCTTTGCTGCTTCAGCCGATCGTCTGATTCGTCCCGACAATGAGGCACAAAAGGCAAGTCTGAGCCACAGCGCGTTGTCCAGGTGCTTCTGAGCGGACCTGTATCCGTTCTCTTGACCGTCGGCGGCACAGGAGCGAGATTATTGTGCTGCCCAAGCCCAATGTTTTCGCTACGGGGATTCAGCTGTTCTCCGCCTTATGGCAGGCGCTTCCTGTCGCACTTTTTCTGCGTCGCCCGTCGCCCGTCTCATAGCGGTCATACAAGCGGCAAGTGCTAGCAAATTCTGGGCGGCGATTGCTCTGCTCTGCAGTTAAATGACTCGACTCGTAGCCTTGATACCTTGCTCGATTGGCTTTGGATGTTTAGATACCCCTTGTGCATAACCTGCGTCTGAAAAAATATTCAATAGTCATTTTTGGCAGCCTATCTGCTAGGTTATCTGCTTCCGTGTGGATCAACGCACCGAACGTCCATCCAACTCGACGCCCATATCGTCGTATAGAACTACCAACGGGTATAAATATAGTCTAACGACTCGACCTAGTTCTTCGCGGACCGTCGCGCATTTCGGACCCTACCTAACCTAAGACAATACAACCTTGATACCATTCTCCTCGATCTTCTTGCCCTTCTCATCGTAGACGATGACGCTGAACGCCTCAAAATCGTTCTCGTCCGCTAGATACTCGTCGTCGTCCTCGGGCGGCAGCAGACTGTACAGTCCATAGCCGGACTTGGGCCACGGCGGCTCGAGCGGATCAACATCATCGTCGTTATCCTGGTGTTGTTGTTGCGGTGCCGGTGCTCCTTTGCCGCCTTTCTGGGCTCGTCCGCCCTTCCGGCCAGTGCCATGGGCATCCGACGGCGTCTGAGGGGTTCCGGGCGTCGACGGTGTCGTTACAGCTTCTGCCGTGCCCGGGAATATGGGCAGGTCCGGGTGGATTTCGAGGCTGTACATCAGCAGCCCGACCAGCTCCTGCTGCGGCAGCGTGGACAGATAGGCTCTCTTCTGCTGGGGCGTGCGGTCGGCCCAGCCCTCCCTCACAGCGACCTTCTGCCTCTTTGGTGGGTGGTTATTGGTATTACCGGTGCCGAAGAGTTGGCGGTCCCGCTTGGCCTTACACGTCGCGCAGAACCAGGCCTCGTTCGGATCCTTGACGACCTCGTCGTATATCCACGGGTCGTGACACCTCTGGTGCCAGCCCTCGTTGCACCCGTCGCAGAAGACCATCTGGTTGCTGGCCGGGCTGTGCATGCGCGTGCACTTCTTGCAGAGGGCCTGCTCCGCGGTGCGCACCTTGCTATGGTGGACGCGCTTCTTGGCGCTCGACGACTCCATCTCGGCCGGGTTATATGTGGTAGGTTTCTGGACGTGGCGCCCGGATTTGGTCAGGATTGGAGGAGCAGACGGCGTCGATGGCTTGGCGTCGGGGCCGTCCTCGTTGTCGGAAAGGCCCGACAGGCTTGAGAGGCTGCTAGTATCATCGTCGTGTGCTCTCGGTGCGCCGCGCTTGCGCTTTGTCCCTGCCTTGGGTGCCGAGGCTGCCTTGAACTTCTTTTCTTTTGGTTCCGCCATGGTGGGTGTGCTTGGTTGTGCTGGTTTGGGTGCGATGGGTCGCCCAGATGCGGTAAGGCCCAGGGTGACCCTCCTGATCGCACTTAAACCGGCAGCACCACTTGCCATCTTTGGACGGGATGGAGCTGTCGATGTCACGTATCCGACATGCGGATGAGGAACATAAGTTGGTGGTGGAGGAGGTGGAGGCGTGGGCCGTGGTGCTGCCGGCATCTGAAGCGTCATTGAGGCTGACGTGCTCATTCCCATAATGACTCGGCGCTTAACATCTTCATATTCTGATGGTTTGAACTCGGGTTTGATCTCGGGCTGTGACGAATTGACGGCGGAGAGTCCTGAAGAAAGACCAGCGGCCTCGTTCTTCATGCGCTTGAGAATCATCTGCGTGGCGGCACTAAATTGCGGCACGTAGAGCCCTGGCCGAGATGCTGATGGAGATTGGGATGCCGAACTCGTAGCAGGCATTGGGTCTGGTGTAGGTGTAGGCCGTGGTGGAGCGGGTGCTACTACCGGCACAGGACTCGGCATCGGAGTCGTTAAACTTTCTGTTGGTGCGGCAGGCGGCACTGCCGCACTGTCGCTTTGCTGAGCCGGATCTGCCATCCTAACTGGAACTTGAATTGACTTTCTGGAACAAACTGGCCACGTCCGTTATGTTTCATGGCATTAGTCCAATGTCTCCGGTCGTAACTATCGAAGTTGAATGGGTCAGCTTTCACCGTTGCAACTTCGATTAGGCAATGGCAATCACCTGCACCATGGCCTTGACTGCCCCAAGAACCTCTCAAATACTGTAACTCTTTCTAAGAAATCTGTCTGATATGGGGCTGCAGTGTTTCAAACGTCGCTTGGCTGGTTGTCCAATCTTCAAAAACAAGTGAGGTGATGAGGGTGTAAATAGAAGGAGAGCTAGGTGGGTCGAGGTGTGCTGGTCACGTGCATGTCATGTGATGGTGTCAAGAAGAAATCGAATAAGCAATGTATTAGACTTTTTGTCTTTTTATCTGACAACGCCTTTCTCCCTCAGGTTTTGTATCTGCTTGTCGCTGAAACCAAGGTGTTCCTTCAAAATTTCATCAGTATGCTGGCCCAATGTTGGCGGCGGGCTGCGTATTCTCGGCTTTGTCTCGGAGTACTTGACGGGAGAGTTGACCAGCTTCAGCGGTCCGCACTGCTCATGTTCGACTTCTACGACCATATTCCTCGCTTTGGTATGTTCGTGCGTGAGAGTCGCCAACACGTCGTTGACTGCAGCATATGGCAAACCCTTTCCCTCAAAGGTTTCTAACCATTCCTGGGTTGTCTTGGTCTTTGTGATATCCTCTATCTTGGCCTCCAATTCGTTTCGATGAGCCACACGCTGGGCATTGATCTTAAATTTCGGATCATCTTTCCACTCAGGACGCCCCAGACCATCGCATAGTATGCCGAACAAGCGGTCATTGCCTCCGCCGAACAGGATATCGCCGTCTTTCGTTTCGAATGACTTGTATGGAACAATGGACGCTGTGAATTGATAAGCATTGATCTTTGTGGATTGGACAGAATACTCACGATGGGCTGTGCCCCATCGGCCAGTATCCTTCTCTCCGCTGATCAGACAGCTGCTTGCGATGTTGGCCAGAGTCGCGGTTTGGCAGTCGCTAAGTGCAGCATCGATATGCTGGCCTCTACCTGTTTTCGCCCTTGCCAGCAGTGCCGCCATGATGCTGTTGCTTGTGTACAACCCTGTAGTGAGATCGGTCACAGCTACGCCCACTTTGACCGGCGGCCCATCTCGGTTTCCTGTGATGTGCATAAGACCAAACTCGGCTTCGACCATGACATCGTAACCCGCTCGCTGAGAATATGGCCCTGTTTGCCCGTAGCCAGTGATGGAGGCGTAGATTAGACCCGGATTTATCTTGTGGATCGTATCATAGTCCATGCCATATTTCTTCAAGGCGCCTGGGATGTAGTTTTCGACGAGGATGTCGCATGTTGCCGCAAGTTTATGGAGGATCTCGACACCGGCTGGGTCCTGGAACGAGAGGCCGAGTGACTTCTTGTTGCGGTTCACCTATGTGCACATGGTAAGCAACGCGACTTCGAGCAGTAGAGGAGTCAGTATGCCGTATACCCCAAGAAAATACGCCGACTCTCCAGGGCCCTGTTGGTCAGAGTCCGGCTTGTATTTGGCATAAGGGGGACCCCATGCTCGAGTGTCATCGCCACGAACGGGATGCTCGATCTTGATAACCTCGGCTCTAAGAGATGATGTAAGCCGATGTCCGGCAGTACGAAGTAAGAGACATACCCAAGATCACCTAGAATTTGGGTGCAGTAAGGCTACATTGAACTTGTCAACGGGATAGACACGGTCATGGAAAGTTGCTGCCTGTACTTACACCAGCGAGTACGCGGGTCATATCCAACACCTTGTAGCCTTCAAGAGGCAGCGAACCGTCTGCGGACGCTGCAGCGTGACTGCTAAGCCACGCTCCGTCGAACCGTGACGGCAGGGAAGACAAAGAACCACATAGCGAACGACGGCCTAGGGCTCTAGAAGAGAGTCGAGCAAGCATTGTAATGCGTTTTGACCTTGCTCAGCTCCTGAATATCAAGGTCCGAAGTTCGCTGGGCTCATGTTGCGGCCCTAAGAAGCACTCGAGCGCTGGCGCCCCGCAGTGAATGTCCTCTGAATTGGCCGGATTGCTACGGATCATCGCCTCTTATTTTGCAAGCTACTTCAAAACAAGGTCTTCAAAACATGGTAGGCAACATGCATTTTGGACGATCAAGATACCAAAGAGGGTTTTACTGGTTCACAGGTGGCTTCCTCACAGTATGGCAGGGTAATGGTTGGGTAAACGCATGGAAAGGACGACTCCCCGAAAGTGGGTCGAAAGCTTGGGCAGGTCATAAATCAAATTAACGGCGTCCAATTCAACACAGCTGCGTGGCGCAGTGGAAGCGCGGTAAGTTCTCAAAGCTCAAAAATTCACAAGTTAACCTTGTACTGACAAATCACAATAGCCGGGCTCATAACCCGGAGGTCCTCCGATCGAAACGGAGCGCAGCTACTCCTCAATCTTTTTGCCTTTTTTCCCTCTGGCTCTTTTGATTCTATTATTTTGAAAAGTCACCTTACATAGGCCTTTTTCGAACAGATTGTTATTCAAATGAGACAGACTCTTCTATGTAGTGCTCTTTGCGTTTTGCGTTTTAGATTTAGGTCACTTGCCTTCGAACGAAGCACTTCGTCTCGGTCCAGTTGCTGAAGCGGTGCGGTAGCTGGGCAGCTGGCCGCCAGCTGACTTAGACTGCTGGGCTTATTTATCTTATCGCACATTGCATCCCGCAACCCAGAACTTCAACATTGGCCATACTCAACGGCAGACCTTCTTGAACCCAGCAGAACAGACATCCTAAACTAGTATCCCACAACAAGTCAAACATTAAACCCATCCAACTCGAGCATCCCAAAGAGCAACCAACAATGGACTACCAGAACCGCGCCGGCTCCAAGTTCGGCGGCGGCGGCGTCGCCTCCCACAGCGCAACCAACGCCGACCGGCGCGAGCGCCTGCGCAAGCTCGCCCTCGAGACCATCGACCTCGACAAGGACCCCTACTTCTTCCGCAACCACGTCGGCTCCTTCGAGTGCCGCCTCTGCCTGACAGTCCACCAGAACGACGGCTCCTACCTCGCCCACACCCAGGGCAAGAAGCACCAGACCAACCTCGCGCGGCGCGCGGCGCGCGAGGCGAAAGAAGGAAAGAGCAACATCGACCCGCAGACCGGCCTCCCAGTCGGCGTCGTCGGCGCCGGGTTCGGCGCCCTGGGCCTGGGCCAGACGAAGAAGAACGTGGTCAAGATCGGCCGCCCCGGCTACAAGATCACCAAGATCCGGGACCCGGTCACGCGGCAGCAGGGCTTGCTGTTCCAGCTGCAGTACCCGGACATCTCGGCCGACGTGACGCCGCAGTGGCAGGTCATGAGCGCCTTTACGCAGCGCGTCGAGGAGCCCGACAGGAATTTCCAGTACCTCGTCGTGGCGGCCGAGCCGTACGAGACGTGCGGGTTCAAGATACCCGCCAGGGAGCTGGATAAGAGGGAGGAGAGGCAGTTTAGCTTTTGGGATCCGGACGCGAGGGAGTTCTGGATACAGGTCATGTTTATGACGGAGCGGGAGGAGAGGTTCAATGCTGCGCCTGGGCTGACGGGGCGGAGGTGATGAGGGGATAGATGGTGGGAGGATGAATTCTTGGGCGTGCCGCTTGCGGCTGCTGCGGTATAATCACATTGCTTCGGTTTGGTGGTGGAAGAGATCATCTGCCGACATTCGGTGCATGGAGCAAAAGTGGTGGCATTGGAGGGACAGTTGCTAAGCTGTGCCAGATGGAGCAAGCAGCCGGCAGCGCCGATACGGGCCTGGCGACGTGAGGGCAGGGCAGCACAAGATGTTTAGAGATGTTCTTGTAGCTGACTCTGGGCGGTCCCTGGATTCAGCATCTGGAGACGCGTCAAGCACGAGTGGAGAGAAGATTGAGTCAAATTGATACCCTTATTACACATGTCACGGCAACGTGGTCCGTATTCTTGATTCTTTCGATGCAATGCATATGACGAGCCTTTGGAGTGACCACAAGTCTAGCTAGGAGTCTAGTTCCATGCCTGATATCTCAGCAAATGCTTTCCTACAGCTGGAGGTTGAAATGAGAGCACAGCAAATATGGCCCTTCATCCTATCGCCAAGCATCTCTGAAGGAACACACACAAGGTTCGCACAAATTCCAGTGGCCCACGTCTAGCAGACCAGGAAGAAACACATGTTCCATTTTCCCTCCTAATAGTCATTGTCCTTTCTCCGATGCCCTGCCAACACAGCTACTCGGAGCCTTTCCGTCTCCTGCAAAAATAGGCCGTCAACTAACAATAAGGCGGATCTCACATTGCGAGAGAGCAGATGGTCTAGCCATATGTGAAAACAAGAAATTGCGGCAGTACCTCTCGAAATCGGCAGCTGGGTTGAGAAGCAAGGGAAGCTGGACATGAACCACTGGAAGACAGCAAAGACGCAGGCAAGCAAGTAGCCTCTGGATGCCAGACCTATAGCCATGGTGGGAGGTGAGCGCCCTTGACAGCATATAAAGGCTCGCATCGGAAACGCATCATCGGAAGTTGTTATCAAACCGCTTGAAGGTATATCCGATGAACGGAAGGCTCATCTCGGGGCTCTCCTCCTGGGCCGTCGGCACTTGGCCCCCAGGAGTGCCTCTAGCCTGCTGGGCGGCCCTGAGCAGAGTAGCGTTGTCCGTCTGGTCGATCTCGTCCGTAGGGAAGTATGTGGTGTCAATGGCGGAGGTCAGGCGCGGCTCGAACGGTGCTCGGATTCTGCGCAAGCTGTCGAACTCGACGCCCCGGAAGAAAGAGTGGCTCTTGATCTCATGGGCACCGCCCCGACCAAGCCGATTCTCTGTGTTGCAGATGAGACTAGAGCAATGGTGAGTAAACATGCATCACGATTAAGAGAGTTGACAAACATACCTGCGGATGAGGTTCTCCGCCTCAGCACCGAGCGGAATGTCATCAGGGAAGTACAACGATTGACGCCAGTTCACAATCTTCCGGTAGGTATCATGACTATCCTCAGCGCAGAATGGCGGCCAACCGATGAGGCACTCGAACATGATAGTTCCCAGAGACCACCAATCGCAGTCGAAGGTGTAGCCATTTTGCGTGAAGATCTCGGGTGCGATGTAATCCGGTGTACCAACAGTCGAGTATGCCATCAGCCGACGTGATCGCCGCCAGTCGTTAATAACGCCTCGGTTGCTCACAGTCAGGTTGATCTGGTCAATGGCAATGGAATTCCTGTCTCCCCTTGGCCTGCTAGACTTCCCCTTGAGTAGCTGTTGGTAGTAGTTGTTGTCGTGGAGCTTATGGAAGCCTGTGGAAAGCCCGAAATCGGTCAGCTTGACATGGCCGCCCCGGTCAAGGAGGATGTTGTCCGGCTTTATGTCGCTGCAAGATATGTGAGCAAAAGATATCATATTGGAGGAACCACAGAGGGCTTACCGATGAATGAAGCCAAGCTGATGCACTGCCTCGATGGCCAGAACAATCTCGGCAATGTAGAATCGGGTGATGTCCTCGGAAAAGATCTCATACTTGATGAGCATAGTCATCAAGTCTCCGCCAGGCAAGAACTCCATCAACATGTACAGGAAGTTGGAATCCTGGAAGGTAGTGTAGAGCTTAACAACCCAGGGGCTGTCCGACTCGGCCAGGATGTCTCTCTCAGCTCGTACGTGAGCCAGCTGATCTTTCTTGAACATTTCAGTCTTGACCAGCGACTTCATAGCATAGACCTTGTTGTCCGCCCTCTTCTGCACCAGCTTGACCTCGCCGAACGCGCCCTTTCCGATGATCTTGATGGTGTTGTAGTTCTCGGGTTTATCCTTCGTCCGCAGGAATCGGAGATACGAGCCTTCTTTCCTTCCACCGGTGGACCAAATCGATTCACGTCGTCGGGGGTCTGTGGTTTCGGACAACTTCTGTTCCATTTCGCTTTGTCTGCACACTATGTCAGCTTCGACGTGTCGTGATAGCCTCGGAAACACTCACCTCTGGTTACGCTCGCGAGCTCGCTTGACGCTGTCCTTGAAGAAGTCGGCCGCCAGCTGGGAGCACTTCTTCTGGTTGTTGTGCGCATTCGGCCCGTACTTGTCGGGGTTTCGCTCTGGCGCTTGCTGGAACTCTAGCCGGGGGGCTGGCTGAGTTGGAACCGGTGGATTCAGGTAGCTGCTATAGCTGGATTGCTGGGCAGGCGCGCCAGCAGTGCGCGGCCGCTGACTTGGGGAGGGGCCTCTCGGGGCATAAGGAGCACCTCTTGCCGCGCCGCCCAGGTTCTGGTGCGAGAATTGGTGAGCTAACCCAGTGTTTGGGTCGTTGCTAGTGCCTGGAGTGTTTGACCTGGCCTGGCCGTACGCGGCTGGTTGGTTCTGGCCAGCAGGTGCACCATAATCTTGGACCGAAGTCTGATACTGAGGGGCAGCGTATTGAGCTTGCATAAAGTAGCCCTGCGGTGCATAGCCACTTGTGTACGGCTGTTGCTGCGGGGCAGATTGGCCACCGCCGGCGGTAGTCTGTGACTGCCCAGGAGCACCGGGAAAGACAGGCTGAGGGAAGGTTGAGGGCGTCGTCGGATATGCCGTCCGATCGTTTGCCTGAAGGCGGTCACCGTTGGCGCCGAAGTTCAGGTACAGACGATTGCCACTGTTATCCATCTTGGGCGCGTTCTTGTGATGCACACAGTAATGCCACCGGTTGATCAATAAAGCTACGATCAATTTGGACAGCCGACTATGGGCACCAAACTGAAGATCTGTGGCAGGTGAAAGCAGTCGGTGTCGTCGTGTCGGTGAAGAGGAATAGACGCGTACGATCGATCGAGAGTCGATATTCGGGAATGGAGCAAGAGGGTTAGAAGGGCGGCGGGACAACGACCTGCGCAGAAGAAGCTAAAGTTGTCGAGCCTTGGAACGTGTGGTGGAAGCTCAGGACTGAGGCTATCGTCGGAAAGGGGCGAAAGGAGGTGAAGGGGCCATGACCTGAGATCGGACCCTTGTTCCAACAACTTTTGGTTGGAGGATCTGTTGATTTGGTGGGGAAGGATTGGAAGGGTGCTGTGCTTCAGAGGCGGAAGGTGCGACGGACCGCTAAGCAGGGAGGGGTAAGGGGCGCGCGATTGGTTGAGTCGCACCAAGGCTCAGCGCTTCCATGTACACAATTGAACGTCTTCACAGTCTAGTTATTTTGAGACAACCTAAGACGACTTCTTGAACTTTCTTCAGATGCTTTGTCCTAAGTAACGGCGGATAATTGTGCATCTTGAGGCTGAGAGAAGATGAGATGACTTGACAACAGCACATATCCGCATATCTGATCGCAACCTGTTACAAAAGTCAACAGGACATGTGGAACTCGAAGTGCTGGTGCGGCACATGCATACCGGCAATCATAACTCGCGACTATTCTAGAAGAGCGGCTCGAAGCCCAACACACTGGGATAACTGGT